TGCTTCTATTTTGATAGCAGTTTAATGGACACTCTCGGCTGGGCTTTCCCGTCAACGCATCTTCTCTGCATTACCAGTGAGATAGCGAGATGGCGCGAAGGGCGTGCTTAGCACCTTGCTCATTGTGAACATCTACTTTAATTTGACTGATTAATTGATATGTCGGCTTTAACGTCCCAAAACCAGCATATGAAAATGAGAGACGCCGTAGTGGAGGGCTCCAGAAATTTAGACCACCAGATATTTTTTAACGTGTACCCCAATTTGAGAATATGAACCTATATCATTTCCGCCTCCATCGGAAATCCAGCCACCGCAACCGGGATTTGATCTCGTGACCTGCTGGTCAGCAGCCGAGTTCCTTAGCCGCTAGACCACCTTGGCGAGGCGTGAACATGTACTTTGCCCTACAGCTCATACTCGCCCATGCGCGCGCGCGCGCCTATCTTTCGACGAGGGAGGTTTGTACGCCTTGTGCTTTTGTCAGAAAGTATGCACTGTAGTTACGGAACGCACGAAGGTCATTTAGCTCGCTGCAGTGTCCCCGTTCGCGAAAAAGGCGCGCTGTTCATACCCAATGAAATAAGAACGGTTAGGTCGCACTCATCTTGTGTATAATTTTGTGTCTTTGTGATTGAACAGCCATTAGGTGTCAGGATCTGAACGTCCCTAGTTTGCGCTCGTCCTGTGCGTTTCATTTTCGTGCGTTCCTTGCGCTTGACCTGTGTGCTGCTCGTTTAGACGGGCTTGCCGTTCTTTGCGTGGCACTCGAATTTGTTGCTATCACATTCATTCCTTCGCCGTCGGTGCGAAGCTTCTTTAGGTGCTGCGCATGAGTTCTGCAGAAACGCGAAAGGGAACAGAAGGGCTATGAAAGGGAAAAAAATGACTCATCTGTTTGTGGCACCAAGCCACAAGGAAATACATACAGATTTCTCGGACAAAAAGCCTGTTAGTTGCCTAAATATTCATCCCATTCTGTGTTTCGAACCCGGGACCAACGCCTTTCCAGAGTGGTGGCTCTGCCAATTGAACTAACCAGGAAGCTAGCAATTTACAGTGCGAGGGTGAATTATTTGACAACTCGAAGAACACAGTCCTCCTTGTGGCTTCGTGCTACAAACTGGTGGTTGTCTTCATTTTCTTTCTTTTTTTAGGTGCGTGGTAAAGAACTTAGGTAGCTGAAATTATTGAAGCCCTACACTACCGTGTGCTTCAAGATCGTATCGTGGTTTTGGGATTCAGAACAATGACAGTTATTACTACAAGGTTGTATCCCATGATCTGACATCCCATAGCAGCTACACATGTCTACAGCGGACACACTCGTGGAACACTGCGGATCAACATGGACGCTTTTGCACAACAAGCACCGCCAAAGAATTGTACACCACCATTTCTCAGAATGTCGAACCCACCCTTTTTTTAAGCGACTGCAATAAAATCGAATTGGGCTAAACAGCATGAGCCGACCTGTCAAAGATTTTTGCAGCTACGAGAAACGTGAAAAGTAAGCAGCAGACACGCACTGCGCAAAGGCCGCTGAAGCGTTCGCACACCTGCCCGTCGGGGCATGACGTGCACGTTGGCGCCGCTTGGTAGACGGGCAGAGAGAACACGTTTCCCCTGAAAGGTAAGAAAAGAATGAAATAATTCGCATAGAGCGCAGAGACTGTTGAAAAAAACCTGTGGTGCACCACCGATAATGTCTTTACTAAGTGACACTCTCGTTGAACTATTAAACACTTCCTGTCGCACACTCTCTTCTGCTTTTCGGAAAGTTTAAGAAAGGGCCGTGGCAATAAACACACCAATCAGTTCAACTTGCACAAGCCATGCAAGCCTTTAAAACTGCGAAACCGGATGATTCTGAAGAATAATCTGGTTCGTTCTAGGTTGTCTGTAGGCCTGACATATTCAATGCTGGTTGCTTCTAGGTCATTGACAGGTTTTGGCTAGGTGATGCTTGGTTGTTTTTACGTCAGTAGCTTGCGCCGAGAGGTTCAGGTTCGACCACAGACAGTCAGAGGCACGACGGCGGCCAGAATTTTCGATGGAGGCGAAAACTCTTGAGGCAATTGTAATTATATAGGTCTAAGCGCACGTTAAAGAACCCCAGGAGGTGGAATCTACTGGAGTCTTCCAGAACGCTGTCTCTTATAATCGTATGATGGGTTTCGGACATTCAACTCCTACAATAAAAAAAAAACGTGTGTTCGCCTCGCGTGCTGGCCTTCTCTTGAAATCCAGTATGGTCCTCCAAAATGACCAACGACGATGTTCTCTTCGCACCGCATGCTTTGCCCACGGCAATTTCTTCTCTAATTCGGCAAGTGGCATTTCAATGCAAATTAAAAGTTTGATAAGAGCTAAGCATGTTTTATGAGCTGTGAATTGCGAAAACGTTCATATCGACATCGAATCAAACACCCGAGCAAGCCGGCCGGCGAGCCAGCAAGCAAGCAAGCGAGCAGGCAGGCAGGCAACCAGCAGCGTCAGCTGTCGCAGAAGAATCATCGTCGTCACCGCATTTAACTGATACCTTGCACAACAAGGAACCTAAGAAGCAGGGATGGCCACCAAGGCAAGCAAAAGCACACTGTGTGTGTGTGTGTGTTGCGTGTGTGTTTGTGTCATGTCAGATTTCTGTAATAATACCATCGCGACGACTGAATTTTGGTTTCATAGCATCGTATCCTCAAGCAAACTGCGGAAATCCTGATATCGTATGGGCACTGGTTTAACCCAGTGATCAAGACATTCGATTTCTGAGGCACGGGTCGTAAGACCGAGATTGACTACTGCCCCCACTTTTCTTTTCGAATTTATTTTGACTTGTGATGATGGAACCAAATAAAAAAGTATGATCTCGGTCATCCTTTTCGATTTCAATAAAACTTACATTAGGTGCCATAATTAAACCGAAAGAATGATTCCAGGGCTTGCTATGTGAAAACAATTCCTTTGAGTTAAAAAAGCGGCGTTATGGTGAGTGAGTGAGTGAGTGAGTAAAAACTTTATTGAACATGTCCGGCGTCATTGAGCGGGGTGGGGCTACAAGCACCCCGGTCTAGGTGACGGCCTCGAGTCCTTGGACCCGGGCGGCATCCTGGGCTTGCCGGACGGCCCACAGGGACCCTTTAGCTTCACCTTTAGGAGTTGGACGCGATAGTGAAGTCCCGGCCCCTAGTGCGCCCTTTAAGTGCGAAGTGCTTACTTTTCATAGTGTTTTGTTACACACACAAACATGCACGCGCACGCGCATGTGCACACGCACGCACGTGCACAAACGCACACACGCACACTATAGATTGTACCACCAACCGCGCGCGAATAGAACATACAGCTTTTTTATCCAAAGCAAGCGTCGCATGGCCTCCAAGATACACGCCGCGCGCTCGCCATTTCAGAGGTCATAAAGAGTCTCACAATGTCTCACAGAGGACAGCACATTATCTAGTGTTTACTCTGGCTTGATGAACGCCTCTGGAAAGGCATGACCTGTTTTCCGCTAGATGGACATAGTTATTTTTAGAGTTGTTTGAAAGTTCCTTTGTGTTTTTAGCTGCGATGGCTGCAGTATCCCGGCCTTTTTCTCACGTAGTTTGATGGCCTCCCATTGCGCCTACATATCAACGAATGAGCTTATTTTTGTCGTGAAACTTGTCGAACAATATGCGTTAAGAAGACTCCTTCCACTACATGGCATGTATGTAGTGTTTTTTTTTTCGATGCAGCTGTAAGTAACGTCGTGGTTTGTGGAAGAATACCTGCTTACCACCTGAACAGCCTTCATTCTCAATGGGTGGAAGACTTTATTCTTTATGTTATTTGCTTTTTTCTCAATTTTTCGCTCACAACCAACGGTACTGACGCCAACGGTAGAATTGCTGCGACACGATTGATTGATATCTGGGATTTAACGTCCCATAGCCACCATATGATTATGAGAGACGCCGTAATGAAGGGCTCCGGAAACTTTGACCACCTGGGATTTTTAACGTGCACCCAAATCTGACTACACTGGCACACAGCATTTCGACTCCATGGAAAATGCAGCGGCCGCAGCCGGGATTTGAACACGCGACCTGCAGGTCAGCAGCCGAGTACCTTAGCCACTAGACCACCGCGGCGGGGCATTTCTGCGACACGAGCTCTGTAACGCTATCGCGTTAAAAGGGAGAATCGGTCCCACTGCTCCTAAAGTGTGTTCGTGCCTGTGTCTCCTTGTGAGCACCTGTTTAACATTGATTGTGAAATGTGAGCGTTTACTTGCAGTACTTGTAGTAGTCTTTCTGGGATAGCTTCAAACGGCACTTGTTACGCAAAGAGGTAATCCGTTACTTGCGCCATGGTTGAAATATGCCCCGGAAGCCAAGCGAAACCTTCTATCATGTTCATTCATCATGTTCTTTATTCTTCAATATGATCTTCAACTTTCGTTCTTCCTCATGTTCATCATGTTAATTCATCATGTCCATCATTCTATCATTTTCTGCTCTTGAAGGTGAACCTCAATCGCTTTCCAAGTTCTTCAATAGGAAAGCGCCTTGAGCCCGCACTCCACTGCCGCCGTCAAGGCTTCCAGCGCGGGACAAGCACGCCGAGCGAAACAAAAGACGCGCGCTCCCGGCGAGTTTAGGCGCGGTGGCAATTGGCTCGCGCTGCGCCACATACTCACTCAGTCGTTACCATCACCGATCGCAGAAGATGCCTTCCCCACCAGTTACTCACCTTATAAACTTCATGAAAGCCAGCAGCGAGATCAGGCACGCAGTCAATTGCGTCCTGTTTCTAAGGAGCTTCTCTCATGGATTGTATTTGTACACGGAACACCTGCTTGTCTTTCAGCATGAGAAGATAGCACCGCAAATAACTTGTTAGCTGCTTAACGCACAATTTCGGGACCGTGTTGTCGGTATCAGTTTCATCCCTGAGTTGAGAAATTGTGATCGGTTACCTATCGTCCTGTAACGTGTACAGTCATGGATCATGCACACTTAGCATGCGGACACGTACGCTGGGGCGTAGTTGCAGACATAGAAGCCTTGGTATTTCTTGTCACCTTCGACACCATCCAGCGTGTAGTACGAGTAGCCGCAGCCGATGAACTGCGTGTCGGTCCAAATTATCTGCGAAGATGACGAAACAGGAATTAGGAAAAAAATCACACACTTTGAATGGGTTACACACATCATATAACGTGTGGGATACATTGCCTAATAAACGGTCGTTTTAGCTAAATTAGCCGCAAACTTGCCATTATAGGTGCATCAAATCAGTGGAACGCGAGCAGAAGCTGCGTTTTCACGACTCATGGGATGTTCACTGCTTTGTGAAACGTTTATTGCAGCTACTGAAAACACAGCACACAAAGCGTTGCAGTTCTAAAAAAAAAAAAAAAACATTATCTAGAGAACTCGTACAGCCTTTTTTCCAATCGTTTTTTAAATTTTTTTATATGTGAAAAGGAGTAGCCAGCACTGATTAAAGGTACTTGAATTTAGTAAACAACGTGTAGTTCGAAAGAGAACTTAGGCCTTTATACTAGTCATATGCTACACGACGCGACAGTTCACCGAGTTGTGAAACGTTTAACACAGTTACTGTATACAGCACACAGGCAGTGGCAGTGCTAAGAAAAAGGCGTATCGAGACTTCGTTACATTTACTTTTCCAACGTTGAAAAACGACTCATACGGATTCTAATATCTGGTTAAAGGGGTAACCGTAGCTGGTTAGAGATGCCTGCATTTCCTAATCAACATGCATTTGAAAGAAAACATTTCAAGCATAGTTCTGGCTGTGGGCTACATCATGCTATGATGACGTGCCACGTGACGACCTCCCCCGCAAAGCGTATCCCGCAGTCTCCACCTTGCCCACGGGTGGCTCTGGTTGGTACTGCCACAGATAACAGACGCTGCAGTACATAACGAAGAGCACGTGAAAGCGCCTTCCTTCGTAGCGGAACTGGTCGGGCATCGGACGCGTTATTTGAAGGCCGTGGGTCCGTATCAAACTGACGAATCACGCCCTTTTTTGGCTCTAACTCCAAAAGTCAAAAACAAATAATGCCTGATATGCTTTCTTTGGGATAACTGTCCGTTGGATCAATTTGGTTTTATCTGAAAAATTTAACAAGCCTCTCGAAAAAAGTTCCCTTCTTTCGTTACTTCAGAAAGTGCTTCAAGTGAATGATTTGTTCAATCAATAACGTTAAGATGAAATCGCACAGCTTTAAGCCAACAGTAAAGTTGACTTCCTTTTACGTAGAAACATTTTACCTTTGCCGATGCTTCATTAGAACCTTCACATGAATCCGAAAATCAGCGTCACCGTTAAGTATCGATATAAGTCTGTGCGATATTCCAGATAAACGCCTGTGCTGAATTACCAAGTTCAAACTAATGAAGGTTATTGCCACGTTTGTTTCTTATTTTTCCTCTTATTTTATTAGGTTTCCGCCCACAAAGCCTCTCAGATACGCTCAGCGCAGAGTGCCCCTCCATGATCGAGAAGGTGCACGATAATTGTAGGTAGTTCTGTTAAGATTGCGTGCAAGACGCTAACACTCGAGATTATTTCAAAGCTTGCGCGACGACCACTGATAAGGCTGGAATATTTGACAGCACATGTATAAATGCCGACGCGCTTCACCGCTTTTCATTTGATCGACGGACAACGCTCTATTCGCTGTTATCAGTGCCATTGCGTATCGGTGATATCGGACTTTCAGCTGATTGGTCACACTTTCTGCGAAATAAACAGTTTCATCTAAACATCAAGTCTGCTTACTTCGTTTACGTCACGACCCCGTGGCAAAACGGTTAAGTCATATTCGAAAGAATTCATTGCAATAGACGAATCACTCGTTTCTATGTGCATGCTCTCAATATATCTTGCATGTTGTGGTTTCCGTAACCGGGTGTTCAAAGCACGAATCATTCAAGTGCCTATTGCTCAGAACACAGCTACACGTCAGTAAAAGGCAGCTCGTACACCCCGTCTTTGTACAACGATATTAACCAAAGAGTTCAAAAAAAATTGCCCGCAGCTTCCCTCGGGGGAACACTGAGGAGGATGCGGAGCATATAATTGGTTAACGGGGTGTTAAAGTGCGACTTACTTGGGTCGATGGCTAAATTGGTCAACGTGGTTGTGAAATGGGGTGTTAAATTGCGACTTACTTGGGTCGATGGCTAAATTGGTTAACGTGGTTGTAGGAGGGGGTGTTAAATGAGTGAACACGTACACACGTATGCGAAAGGGCGGCGCTGGTCGAAGGGATGTCGATCATTGTGTTTGTGGATTCGTTGGCATTCATTTCACGGCGACTTCGGACGTCGACGCGCCGTACAAACCAACGGACGAGCGGCAACTGAGCGAGCGAGCGCCGACCTTGAGTATATATACAGCGCGACGGCGCATGCGCTGTCAGCTGTCGAATGTTCTCGAAGGAGAAGCGCGCGCGCGGCACAGATGGCGACGGCGCGACGGCGCGTGCGCTGTCAGCTGTCGAATGTTCTCGAAGGAGAAGCGCGCGCGGCACAGATGGTGGGCGACGGCGCGACGGCGCATGCGCGCGCGTCAGCTGTCGAATGTTCGAGAAGCGGTGCGGACGGCGCACTACAAGGCGCGAGTATAAGATGCTTCCGCATCTAAAATAGGTTTATTATATTGCTATACGGGCAATACGAACACTACAGACGAATTTCTGCCTTTGCCGTCATGTAAAGTACAAATCCCCAATTCATAACACTGCCCCTCTTCCCCGCGTCGTATGTTTCACGAGTGAGCGCAAGGTTGGGAACACTGCAAACGGGCGTGGCTGAAGCAGGGTTGAAACACGCCGATCGGTTCTCTCGGGTAAGGAAGCACGAAGAGGCGCTGGTGCAGGGAGGCTGTGGCACTAGGCCAGAAACTGCGAACTTGGATCAAAAGGCTACAATCATGCACGCTATCTCGACTGAGATAAGTAGACAACTGATATCCTTGGCCTTCTGTTGTCTCTGGCTACTTCACGTAAAAGTGACAGAACGCACTGAAAGCGTTTGGTTCGCTTGAAGGGCTGTGTTTTGTTACGACTAGTGCTTTTCAGGTTTAAGCCAGATTCTGCCGTAATGGAGTCGTGGAGTAGCCCTACTCCGGTGTCGGCATAGCATACAAATTCGTTTCTGTTGCATTCATCAGTTCGCCTTTGCGGCGAAACAGTGAATTTCGTTGTGTTTTACTCCAACACTCCCGACCCCGCCCCTGTCCAGAAAGAACGGTTATAAGTGGCAATAAAACAACTTGAGGCCTTCGCGTGACACATGGCCGCAAACCAGGAATTTTTTTTTCACTGTGCAGCTTTTTTTGTTAGCGATCGCCAATTTACCAACATCGTGCGACCTGTGCAGTGGACTCTTCGTGAACAACACAAGCTCACACATTCACACTATCAAGATCATAATTTACACCAGGCATGTTAGACAGCCCTCTTCAAGAACTGCGCTTGTCCGTGACATCATACGCCACGGATAGTATAAAAGCAACACCTCGTAGCAACTTCACCAGTGGGCACGGCGAAATGGCTGTGATCATGCCGATAACAAAGAATTTCGTTCTCCCTGACGAGGATTTAACGCGTCAGCGTTGAAGAGCTCCTGCCGCAGAAAACCCGCTGCCGGTGTCGGCCCCGTTGGTTGTGAGCGAAAAATCGTCTGTGCATCTGTGACCAAAAAATAGTTACCGAGATAGCCGTGGGAGGCCACTACTTGCACACGCGTGCGCGCGCGATCACACTGATAAAGCCGCGCATTCGAAGAAACAAAAAGTGCTCAAGGTCATGAGGCGTGGTGGTTTCTTCGCCCTGCCACCCCTGCCTGCTTAGCTTCCAAAGCTTTTGTCGGGACGAGATAAGGAATAATGAAATTGCAGCATGTGACAAACTTTTGTAACTCCACTCGCACTGGGCGGATTCTTAAAATTGTTGCGGCGTTGAATTCGTGAGGCAATAAACTCTTATAGTGAATTCATTCTATGGTTACATGAAAAAGTGTTTCAGGGCCCCTTGAACTCATTTTGTTCGACAGGTGTCACGACAAAAACGAGCCCATTTGGCGATAATAGAGCGCGCTGGTCCATTCTACTGTGTGCGCGTTTGTGTGCGTGCGTATATTTGTGAGTGAGTTTGTGTGCATGCGTTAATATGTTTTGTTACATACAAATGTCTGCAACAAAACATATGATTAAGTATGCACTTATCGGTTGAACGGTGCACTAGGGGCCGGATTTCACTATCGCGTTCAACTCCTAAAGGCGAAGCTTGAGGGTCCCCCAATATTTACTGCTGGCGATCGGCGATTTACGAACATCGTGTGATGTGCGCCTCGAACCCCTCGCGAAAAGCGGGAGCTCAGACACACGACAGCCATAAGATTATCGTTCACGCCAGGCATGTTGGACAACCCTCTTCAAGAACTGCGCAATGCGCGTGACATGACACACCACGGACAGTATAAAAGCAACACCTCAGAACTTCTTCACCAGAGGGCATGGCAGAATGCCTGCGACGATGCGACCAGGAATTTTGTTCTCGCTGTGCAGGTCAGTTCACTCTGTGCCATTACGAGTTGAGATGAGGTGTTTTATTGGTTTTGCCGTGCAGAGGCGTTTCTTTGAGTATTGGGTATGACTCTTTAGTAGTTCTTGCAATTTTGATATGTGGTGATTTGGAGAGCAGCCTGGGGCCCACTAAAGCTGATATATGTTAGAGAATATACTGAAGAGAGCAAGTAATATTCACGCTGATGTTGCGCAGATAAAAAAACAAGATTAGCGAGTGTGTGCAGCTCATTAACGACATTGACTCACGTTTGAAATCACTAGAGCAACTTGTGAAAGTACCAAAAGACGGCTTGCCTCTACTTACAGCGCTTCAATCATCGTCGTTGTCCTTTCGAAATTCAGTGGCCTTGCAAAGCAAGAAACTAATTCACCTTGAAGACAATAGTCGAAGATCAAACGAAAGTTGCGGTATTTTGGAAAGCAGTCGCTGTAATTCCGGCTGCAGAAATGACAATCAAGTTTAAGTTGTCGCATATGACTACATCTACGGCATCAGAGCTTGCTGCTATAAGGGCTGCTT